GTGCGTATAGTATGAGGGGTGAGGAGAGATTACAGGAACCATTGTCTCTCGCACCCCAGACTTTTTAGCATGAAATCACATAGTCAAAATGGACTATGCAAGAGTCCTAATAGCTGTTATAGGAAGGCCTAAACATGCTCCACAGGATGGTCAGTGGGGTTCATTTAGGAGACTGAAGAACAAACACTTTTCTAAAATTAGCCATTTATATCCTTTCACCCTAATCCCCTATCCCATTCTGACCTTGTTACTGCTCTCCTTGAGAAGGTGGGCAGTCTTCTCCTTTCTCACTAGATTTGTTTTAAATCTATTTGAGTCTGAATACAACAAGATTTATAATATTAAAGGGAAAAGAGATGCTCTTCAATCCTGGATTTTTCAACTCTATTTTCTTCCAGTTATAGACAACAAAACATGCATACAATTAGACAACTCTGGATTTCCCAGAAGTAATCTGACTCCTCTTCCTTACTACTCAGAGAAACAAATATTAGATTGGTGAAGCTGTAGAACTATGTCCTTAGATAATTCTAGACCTAAGCTATCCAATAGAAATATAAAGCAAGCCACACATGTAATTTAAAATTTTCTAGTAGTTTCTATTTAAAAAATTGTTAAAATTGGTGAAATTCATTTTAATAATATATTTCATTTAATCCAATGTCTTAAATATTTCATTTCAATACATAATCAATGTTAAAATTATTGAGATATTTTTCATTTTTTAAAACTAGTTTTTGAAATCTAGTATATATTTTATACTTACGGAATGTCTCAATTTGGATGCTATGCTTTCATGTGAAATATTTGATCTGTTGGTTACTCAAGTCATCGAAACATTTTCAGTTTTCCAATGACTGAATCAGTTTGTTTTTAAAATTAAACTAAGTAAAATTAAAATTCAGTTTTTCAGTCATACTAGTTACATTTCCAGAGCTCCACACATGGCTAGTGGCTCCTGTATTGTACAGCACAATTCTAGACTTCCTAAACATGATTTAAATTTGGCTTGAGCCTTTAATTATGAACTAAAAAGGCAAACATCATTCCAAGTGTTCAGAAACGCAAACTGGAAAAATGATGGAGCTCTGAGTCAGGAAGAGTTTTTGATTTGTCCCTTTGATCTCAATAGTCTATTTCTACTTCAAGCTTAGTTTCTTACCAAAACACGTCTGCCTGTCAGGGCCTAGCACGGTTCCTGGAGCACATATGCACTCACTGGTATCCAAGCAGCTTCCATGGCAGTCCTCATCACAGATGTCATAAAAATCTATGGAAGGATAAAAATGTCCTTTTGTGAGGGGCGAAGACCAGAAGACACTCTTGTTCATGAGAAAGCCTCATGAGTTCAATCATGGGGTATGAGTTTCTGGCCAACATCAAGAGAATTCTCATCGTTCAGGGATTACATAAATCCAATGGAAAGAGATACTACCCAGGGGCATCTTTTGTCATTTAGATCAATGATTCCTGACTTTAGATCCACAGGCCCTTGGCTGGCCAGAGAGTTTCTGTAAATCTAAATAAAACCTCACCAAACACAAGCTGTAGATTAAATAAACATTATTTCCTACTCTTCTATGTACTCTATTTTTTAAATGTATACAGATTTTGAAGGGATTGATAACACAAAAATTCATTTAAAAGTATTGCTGACATCAAGTTGCTTCTTCCCATATTATATCATTTTTAAAAATCAATGGACACTAAGCACGATGCTACCACATGAATGTCTGATATACATCTTTAAAAGAGGTCCTCTAAGCAGCTCCCAGGCAGCCAAAGGAAGGTGCCAGCTGCCCACTGGCTCTCAGAGGGCAGATGCCACACCTGTGGTCCCAGAGCCCTGCACAGAAGGAGACATGTCTTAGATGAATGTTTCAGATATTTGTGCAAATTTACTCTTGCAAACTCCTCAGTCTGGAGCACTTTCTCCTTCAACCATTTTCTGTTTGACAGACACATGGTAGGAGCTCAAAAAATATTCGTTGATAAAATATATGTATTTGACTAATGAAGAAATGATTCATATTCAGTACCAAGAGCTATCATATGTAAATAGCATTGATAGAAAAATAATAAGAGCTAAGCCAAGGCAAAGGGAATTTTGAAGAATGAGAGGACATTTTCCCTGATGAGGGCATTACTGTGGGGCTGGGAACATGAGAGCTTTCTAAGAAAAACAGGAAGAGAGGAGAGTTAACATTTGCTGAATGCATGCTGTGTATGTAATAAAAATAAAATAATATAAAATAAAAGGGGTCCTCCATATTCAAAGGGTTAGAAACTTATTATTTAGAGAATCTAAATCAACACTGCATTTTCTAACGTTTTTTTTTTTTCACAAGAAATGAAGACAAAATAGAACTGATCAAAGTCATAGGTCCTTTCCCTTTTTATTCTACAGGAATTTTTCAGAAGTCTAAGAACAAATTTCTGAAATCACAATCCAGAGATATCTCCATGTTATTGAGACTCTGAGATACTACCATAATTGAATTTCATATGGCGCTTTTCTCTTTGATGCCTTGTGGGGGAGGATAAAGAGCTCAGGAAAGGTACTCACAACCACAGTAGACATGAAAGCATACACTGGGCTTGGTCAGACGATACACATAGTAACCTCCAGGGCAAGCCTTGACCTCCACCGTGGTGTTCCAGAGGCAGCAATTCCCATTGAAGCTCGCACAGGCCTGGCGTTGCACAATGCCATCACCTTCTAGTGGGTGGCTGCCATTGAGCCAAACAGGTGCATGGGTTCCACAGTGGTTTTCTGGTATGCAGAAGGTGGGCATGGCATCCCCAGCCATGCCCGTGAAGCGGTACCACTCCCCATCCACATGGTTGTCACACAGAGGTGGACCTTGAGACTCATCAAATTGATAGTCAGTGTTCCTCCAGGGCTCATTCAGACTGATGTAAGCAGAACAAGGATCTAGGGCTGGGAATGAAAAGAACACCTCAAAGGTACTTTTTGATATTTCAGATCATAGAGACAATAGCCTGAGTCCACCTTCTTGATCTTGCATTTTGGCTTTTTCGAGTTCAGGAAAAAAAAAAATCCAAAATCCCAAGAAGTAGCTATTTAAGATCTCCCAGTTTGCTTTAAATGTGTTTCACAAATGCCTTTTATGAAATTATTTCAAATCTAAGGTTTAGTATTTGCATTGAGCTAAACTTTTTATCCAGGGTAATCATTTGATGGAAGGATAGTTGTTCAGACCAAGGGAGGTTGGGGTTATAGTCTCATTGAAGTCTGCTCTGCTCAGATAATATTTTGAGCATTGCATTCATACCTGATGGCTATATTTTATGAAAGTAATGACAAACTTGGTGTCCAGAGAAAGGAGTCGAAAATTATTTACTAGGGAAGAAGCTGAGAACTATAGTTTGGAGAAAAGAAGACTGAAGAATATGCATATCACTTTTCAGACATCTGGAACAGGTTTGTGAAAGAGGAATTGGGTATTCTGTTATAAGAAGAACAAATTGTTATGGAGAAGCACATTTCATTCAGCTATCCAGTTAACGGAGAGGCCGTGCCACAGTGTGGTAAGCTCGTCATCTTTGGAAATTTTCAAAAAGTATTTGGATGGTCATTTGTAAGCAAGATTTTAGATGGAATTTTGTACTAATGGGAAGTTTGACTTGATAATGAATCTGTAAAACTCATCCCACTAAAAAGGAAAAGGCCTCTGGCATATGTCAGCTGCTTTGAAATACACAGAATACTGGCCAGAGTTACCAAAGATAGTCTCGAAGTCAATCGTGTATATTTTCCATCAGCTTATTGAAAATATCATGAACTTAGTGTATTCACAATTAGCCATGGAATTACCATGTGTAATACAGCAAAATTTCTCAAGCATGTGTTTTAGTGCATACATTGCATAGACAAATAACTCATCAAAAATATATTAATAACTAAAGACATCAACATCCCCAATATTCTCACTGCTTCTCTCAATTTCATGGAAATATTCAATTAATATAGGCAAATTATATGAAGAATCTGTAAAACCAAGAAATTCTAGAAAGGAGCACTAGCTAGAGAGTACTGTCCTTGTTAAATGCGTGTCAAGCTGACTTAACTGACATTGTAGGCAGAGAATTCACATTATGGCTGATGCGTTCTGTGGGCAGGAATTTCAGTTTTAGCAAATAACGCACAATAATTAAATGTGAATGGGTCGTGATCACAAAGTGTTAAGTTGTCTAGAAAATACTTCAGATTTTTCCTGTCTACATTTCAAACTCAAGTTCACTCTAAACTTCAGCTGCATGTAGAAGAAGGTGTAGCTTAGTGCTAATGGCCCCAACGAAAATATGACAGTTTGGGACAGTAATAAGAATATTGCATTATCTGGAAAAAAACACACTTAAACAGTTGTACATGGATGGATCGACTTTCTCCTTTAAAATGTCCCTGAGGTATCCCAACTGTGCCCTAGATGTCTTATGTCCTTTGAGGATAAGAAATGTCCTCAGACAGACTCTCTGTCTTCACAAAAGGGAAAAATTCCTTCATCTGCTCTCTAGCTGTGGTTTTCTTAGGAAGCAAGGTTTTCAGGGCAATTTCACATGTGATTATAAATTCATAGAAATATTTGATTCATTTCCTTGGCTCTAATTTTATAAGAAATGGCTAAGTGCTCAACTTTTAATGGTTTTTACAGAAGTTCCTAAACCTCCCTGTTTCATGATTTAGTTTTCCTTAAATTTAACTGTCATTTCTTGTGCTGTCTGTTAAAAATTCACTTCCTCTTGGGGTGTAGAGGAGGTATGGCACAAACAGGAGAAATTTATGTGCTATCTCCTGTAAAATAAATAATAATTTTTAAAAATGTTACCCATGTAATATTTTCAAACATTAAATATATTCATTCCACTCTATTCCCTAAGGCAGTAATTCAATCTTTTAATAATTTAGCCACAGGCGTTAATCCATATTGCATCCTAATTTGCTGATATATATTCTCCTCAAATGGGAGAGCTTCAAAAGAAAGGCCCCTTGGGTTCCTTTCAGAGTTGGAGTTAGGGGCCCTCGGGCCTGCCAGAAAGCAACTCCACCTTTAGTAGGACGCGTGCCTGCCAGACATCCTGCTGGCCACCCCTCCCGGGTCTCCCCACTGGGGACGCAGTGACAGCTATGCTCCCCCAGGACCAGCACCTCACGGTCGTCCAGTGCAGAGAGGTAAATTCAACGTCTAGGCACTTTTGTCTCGGGCTTTGCAGAACAAGGAATCCCCAACACTCCAGGTTCTCACCTGGGAAGCCCCAACTCCGACGGTTGTGGTCGCCAGACCCCTGCCCACGTGCTCAGTCCAGAAGCTCTCCTTCCTTCCCTCTCCCTCCCTGTCCATTTCCGTGCTCTTCTACCTCGCTTCCCTCTTCCCCACCTCCTCTCCTCTCCCTTTGCTCCCTCTCCTTTTCTCTCACTTCCCCTCTCCTTCCAGGGTAAGCATCCCCCCAGCTTCCTCACCCCTACCCCCAAGTTCTTTTATTTTTCTTCTGGTATGGAGTTAAATGTCCTAGAAGGGCTGGAAAAAAAGAAAAGACAAAAGAAACCTGGGGAGGGAGAAGGTGTGTAATTGGAGGGTACAGGAGGT